TTACTTCACTAAAATTAAAGCAGCAGATATATGTTCTTTTTTTTTCTTTCTTTCTTTTTAAAAGCTTATTTAGTTATTTATTTTGAGAGAGAGAGAGAGAGAGAGAGAGAGAGAGAGAGAGAGAGAGAGAATCCAGGAGAAGGAGAGGGGTAGAGGGAGAGAGAGAATCCCAACAGGTTCCACACTCTGTACAGAGCCCAATGAGGGGTTGGACTCACAAAGCAAGAGATCATGACCTTAGCTGAAATCAAGAGTTGGGGGGGGGGTGCGGTGCTCAACTGGCTGAGCTACCTAGATGCTCTTCTTCTTTTTTTCTAAATTACACTTCCATGAATAAGATATTTACACCTACTCTGGTATGGATTATAGAATGATATTAGGCATTTATTCTTTTTTCTTTCTTCCACATATCTGTGAATGTACACCCACTTCTGTAGAAATATTTTGGTTAATAAGTTACAGATTATCTTCCCACAAGTACTCAGACAAATGGAGGTTTAGGGGCTTCATAAAGCAAAAATTAATAATACGGGAACTTTCAGACAATGGCTTACTAATCTTATTGGAAACCTAGATTGTTTTTTTAATCTATTTTTTATTGTTTTAATGTTTATTTATTTTTGAGAAAAGGAGAGATAGTGACAGAGCATGAGGTGGGGAGTGGAAAAAAGAGAAGGAGACACAGAATCCGAAGAAGTCTCCAGGCTCTGACCTGTCAGCACAGAGCCCAATGCGGGGCTTAGACCCACGAGCCGTGAGATCATGACCTGAGCTGAAGTCAGACACTCAACCAACTGAGCCACCCAGGCACCCCCTTTTTACCATTTTTAATATGTTGACTTAATCTTCAAAATTTCATGTTAATTGGTCACAACCAAGCATTCAGTAGTCTCATCAAGGGAAGGGAAGCAGATCCAGAAAGCAAAGAGGAAGAGGCCAGATGACTGCTTCTGTCCTATTCTTTCCCTTCTACTTCCTCTCCTTCTCTTCCTCCTCCTTTAAGTAGCAAAGCTAGAATTTTTCCAGAAGCCATACCTAGACACTAAATATATCCTTCTGACCAAAATTTTGCCAATTGGCTATAGCTGCTTATATAGGGGACTTGGAAATCAGGTCTTTAGTTGGGCACATTACTAACTGAAACAAAGTCCATGTAATGTAAGCAACAAAGGAAAACAGGGATACTTGGTAGGCCAAAAACATAATACCCAAGCCAACAACCTGAGTATTACCAATGACTCCATCATGCTTTCATATATGGAGAGATATACCATATTTATGGATCAAAATAGTTCATGTCATTAATATGTGAATTTTTCTCAAGATGACCTATAAATATGACCCTAACCTAATTGAAATTTCAGTAGAAGTTTTTGTAGAAGTTATCAAGCTGATTCTAAAATTTATATGGAAAATAAAGGAATTCAAATTTCCCAAAATTATAACAATACAAAGCAAAACAAACAAGGTTGGATGACTCACACTATCTCATTTTAAGAACAATCAAGTGTGAGATTAGTGAAGAATGTGGTCATAAGTCAATAAAAAAATACAAAGTTCAACAATTAAACCTCAATATATTATGAATTGATTGTTGACAAGGATGTCAAGATTGACAAGAAATAGGAATGTTTTAAATAAATGACTACTGGACAATTGGACATGAACATTCAAAAAAGGAACAATCTATTTTGTATGAATTTAAAAAATTAACTAAAAATGGATGAAAAACCTAAATATAAGAGCTAAAACTCAAACTTCTAGAAGTAAACACAGAAGAAAAATTTCAAGATCTTCTTAGGGAAAGATTTCTTAGATATGACACACAAAAAAAACAATCCACAAAAAAAAATTGATAAATTGAACTTCACCAAAATGTATAATTTCTGCTTTTTGAAAGTTTGAAGATAAGGCACCAACTGGGAGAAAGTATTTCTAAATCACATATTTAATAAAGGACTTATTTCCAGAACACAAAACAAAGTCTCACTTCCCTTCTCCAGCTTCTATCTCACCTGCGGGAGGTCTTTGGTGTCACTTTCTAGAAGAGATAGGTACAATGGGGTCAAAATTTCATTCAGAGAACTTGGACAATTGAGAAAAGCAGAATTCATTTAACCATTAGTTTAATAAACTACAATAAGCTATAACTTAGAAGACATTTCAAGTTGACTCCTACTTACTACTCCAACCTTATTTGTCACTATCCTTCCATCAGACTACACGTGAAGAATTGCCATACTAAAATGATTTCAACAGGAATTTTAATTCCGAATGCAAAATTCACCCATAAGACAGGCTTTTCAGTACTTAAATTCTCGATAGAGCTAGGTACCAATTTAATGTTATTTGAGGATCTTCCATCTCATTTAAGCCTCTTTGGTCCTTTTGATACCAAGCACATATCACCAAATTTAGCTAATTGTTGCAACAGCATTCTGCAGACAGACGTCTGACTGATTGTCTGAAATGACTAACAGTTTGGGATATTATATATGCAATTTACTGCCAAGAATAGGTAATAAGCTCTAAGAGCTATTAAGATGCAAAGAAGGGATGGATCAAAAAAAAATCAAAAGCTGTTCACAATCACAAGTGAAAGTATAATTACCATACATTATAAGGGAAAGAGAACTAACACTGAGTAAGCACCTACTATCTATTAACCATCTTGCTATTTAATTTGTGAATATTATCTCATCCACAGAACAGCTACTTAATGTAAACAGTACTATCTTCATTTTAGGTTAAAATTTTTATTGAAATAAAATATACTATATACTGTAACATTCACCCTTTTAAAGAGTGCAATTCAATGGCTTTTAATATATTTACCAAGTTATCCAACCATCATTACTATCTAATTTCAGAATAGTTCATCTCTCCCAAAAGAAACCCCATACCTATTATAGCAGTCACACCCCATTTCTCCCTCTCTTCCCACTGCAAGCTCATGATAATCACTAATCTACTTTCTTTCCCTCTGAACTTGCCCACTCTGGACTTTTCATATAAATGGAATAACGCAGTATGTGGCCTTTTGTGATAGACCTCTTTCACTTAGCACAATGTACTCAAGGTACATTCATTTTTACGTCATGAATCAATACATAGTTCTTTTTGTAACTGAATAATATTTCCCTGTGTGGCTATAATAGTTTGTTTACTCAATCATCAGTTGATGGACATTTGGTTGTTTCCATTCTTTGGCTATTGTGAATAATGTCACTATGAACATTCATGTTTAAGTTTTTTTGTGAATATGATGGGTTTTTTTTTCTCTTGGGTATATGTGTAGGAATGGAATTAGTGGGTTATAAGCAACATTTTACAAAAGTTTTTCTTTTTTTTTTAGTCTTCCTTTAATAGGTAGATACAGATATGGATATAGCTAGATACAGATAAAAATAATATCACATTCTTTTTTACAAATGTATTTATTTTGAGAGAGAGAGAGGGAGAGAGCATAAGGGCTGGAGGGGCAAAGAGAGAAGGAAAGAGAGAATCCAAGGCAGGTTCTGTCCCGCCTGCACAGAACCTGACGCAGGGCTTGAACTCACTAACCCATGAGTTCATGACCTGGGCCCAAATCAAGAATTGGATGTTTAACTGACTGAGTGACCCAGGTGCCCAACATCACATTCTTAGGTAAATGGTAGCATTGCACACATATACTTTTTTTATGTGCTTTTTTAATTTAAAATATATTCTGAAAAACAAAATTAAAAATATATATGCTGAATATCAATACATAGATATTCCTCACTTCTTTTTACAGCCAAATGATCAGGATGTGCTATGACTAATTTAACCAGTAAACTATCCATGGACACTGGGTTGCTTTATGGTCACTTGTTATTACAAATTGAAATAGAATAAATCATGTTATGTATATTTGTTTTCATATTTTTGAACATATATTTTTAAAATAAGTTTTTAGAGATGAAGTTTCTGTGTCAAAGGACAAATGAAGTTATATATTATCAAATTCCCTTCCATCAAGTTAGCTCTATTTTTATATTCCCAGCCATTATCCCCATATGGTAAAATTTTAAGAAAAAGCTTTTTTAAATTTATTTATTTTAAGGGGGGGCAAAGAGGAGGGACAGAGAGAGAGGAAGAGAGAAAATCACAAGCAAGCTCCACACTGTCAGCATCAAACCCGATACGGTGCTTGATCTCACAAACTGTGAGATCATGACCTGAGCTGAAATCAAAAATTGGATTCTTCACTAACTGAGCTACCCAGGTGCCCCACTATATGGTTAGTTTTTATAATACCTTTCACAATATATACAAATATCAAATCATTATATTATTTGAAACTAGTATACTGCTATAGGTCAACTACATTTCAACAAAAAATATTTAAAGAATAGATGTATAGAAACATTAGAAGAAATTTACAAACTTGTAAACTTCACTTAAGTTAAAAAATTAATAACAATCTAGAATTAAAAATATAACTAACAATTTGATTAAAGGAACAAATAGAACTGGCATCAAAAACTAGAGAATCCACATTATTATTTTCAATCATACATAGTACATTATAAAAAGTAAAATTCATTTTAAGTGTCTGGATATGTAGGTTTTAGAGAATTAAAAGAACTTAACAAAGTCACACAGTCACACAGATCATTATTAAAGGAATGATCTTGGATTTGAACCCAAATATATATGGTTCCAAAGATTCTTATGTTTCTTATAGAAGTTGTTTCACAAGAAGAGAACTATGCATTATCTGAAAGAAGTCATTTCTGAGAAAGAAAAATAATGCAACTGGAGACAGCGTTCAGAATATAATACCTTAGACCATATCTTATTTTGAAAATATAATATATCAATTGATATACTGATTCTTCATATTTTAGTAACTTCTAATATAATTTTCTAACCCTTCTATTTTGGTAAAGAATGTGTAGCTTTTGTTTACCAAAGAAAATACAAATTTTTTTTATTGGCATATTTGCTGTGTATACAACTCATCGTGAAACAAGCTTTTAAAGTTGTATAATAATTTGTTCTCATGGAAAAGTTTTACAGAAAACCACATGTATAAAAGTTTCATTATTTTCCATAGAAAAGTTTAAATGATGTATATTGTGAAGTGTTATTCTCTAAAAGACAAGTAAACACAAACAACTGATTTCTGTCTAAACATCATTAAGAAAATGGAGGTATCTGAGACATATGAGAAAGCCTAAAAAAAACAATTTCAGCATTAGCTAAATAAACTACATAGGAATAATACACCACACTCCTCTAAATAATGCTCAGTATATGAAACATTTTTTCCCAAAGTTTTAACTAAAATCTGCTGAAGTTAATGGACATTATAAAGGTTATAAATAACATAAAAAGAAAAAAAAGTATGTAGCAACTATAGCACACTGGAAGCTGTTCTATTTTCTGCATGTGTCCCATAACCATTTTTGAAGGGCTCAGCTCTAGATATGAACTACACGAGAGAAAAACAAAGCCAAAGTCATTAATGAGCAGCCCACTTCAACATGCCAGCAATTCTTACAGAGCACAGAGTCTGCATCTCATACTGGGCTGGAAACCCTTCACACCTCTGTTGCCCCAGACAAAAACGTGTTTTTCTGCATACAGAATAAGCTGGTAAATAAAAATCTGCCTGTAATCTAATGCACCTGTATATCAAAGAAAATTTCCCCATAAAAAATAATGGAAACTCAGATAATTCATTCTACAACCCCAAAAATATTCATATAAAAATGATTACAATACTGTAATATAATAGAAAATAATAAAGAAAATACAAAATATAAGGAAATATAAACAAATTAACCTGCTCTTACTTTTGAAAACCTTCATGACTGGTGTAAGGGAGACAAGAGAGGAGGGTTATCATACAGGACAACTTTCTCTAACGGAATCACTACTAACTATTGGCTCAATGAAATCTTTTTCTTTTCATGCAACTTTAACAAAAAACCTATCTAAGACCTAGAATGAAGCAAAGCATTCCTAACCTTACTCCTGTATGGAAAAGTAAAGGACTGCCCATAGGTGCTTTGAAATGACAGAAAACAGACTAGTGCCAGTGGTGGGCATCTTCCAATGTTCTGAAAAAATCACTGATTTCTGCCAAACACCGTGGCCTGAGACTGAGCATCTGAGCATGGAAGATGATCACCCACAATCCAGACAGAGGGAGGGAGGGAGGGAGAGAGAGAGAGAGAGAGAGAGAGAGGAGAACCATTGGCTCAGTTGTGATCATGTGACATTTGGCTTCACATACCTAGTGTTGCAAGACATCCCTCGTTTATCAAGTTAAAATTTATTAGAAATGTTTGCTCTTCCTGTGGAACACTTACAGAACAAGTTACTCACAATCCAGCGTTTTACTGTATACACATTCAAGGCTTTAAGTGCTACTAACACTAACTTAAGTCGATATGAAATTTATCTGCCTTGAATTCTGCTCCAGAAGTTATCTGCACTTTTTATACTGACATTTACAGTTGTGGAATGTGTTACAGTTAGAAGCTAGAAAACTATCATGATGAACAATAGAAGTATAAATAAAATGTGGTTTAATGGCTTTTCTAGTTGTTTCTCCTTCCTGCAGACAGCTACTTTGGGTTTTACTTTTCATATATAGAAGTAATTAATTTAAAATCATTTTGAAGTATAACTGGCATATTTCTTCCTATTCATCTGTTTTATTTGCCACTTAAAAAAATCAGGGGTGCCTGGGTGGTGAAGTCTGTTAAGAGTCCAACTTTTGACCTCAGCTCAGGTCAAGATCTCATGGTTCCTGAATTCAAGGCCTGCATTGGGCTCTGCATTACTGGTGTGGAGCCTGCTTAGAATTCTGTCTCTCCTTCTCTCTGGCCCTCCCTGCTTGTTCTCTCTCTCTCTCTCTCTCTCTCTCTCTCTCTCTCTCTCTCTCTCCTTCCCTCCCTCTCTCTCTCTCTCTCTCTCTCAAAATAAGTAAATAAACTTAAAATCTTTTTTTAAAATCTGGCCTTAAGAAAATATGAGGTTTCAACATAAATAACAATTTAAGAGTAACTGTTGCATTTGCTTCTATTTTAAGGGCTAAGTGGTGTTCCAAGTTAGAAACCACTTGACAAACTCAATCATTTATACTATATTAAAAAAAATGATCACCCTTATATTTTGAAAATGGTAGGACAAGACTGTTTTTTAGATTTTATTTTTTTTTTTTTTGAGTTGTTTCAGGCTCATAGCAGAATTGAGGAGAAGGTACAGAGATTTCCCACATACACCTACCCCCATACATGCATAGCCTCCCTATTATCCATATTTTCCACCAGAGTGGTAATTTCGTTATAATTGATGAACCTACATTGACACATCACAATCACCCAAAGTCCATAGTCTACATTACAATTCACTCTTGGTATTGTACATTCTATGGGTTTGAACAAATGTATGAAAACATGTATCTGTCATTATGGTATCTAAGAGAATATTTGCACTGCCCAAAAAATTCTTTATTCTTCTCTCTCCATTCCTCAATTCCTGAAAACAACTTATTTTTTTAATATAACTTATTGTCAAATTGGTTTCCATACAACACCCAGTGCTCATCCCAACAAGTGCCCTCCTCCCTGCCCACCACCCACTTTCCCCTCTCCTCCACCCCCCATCTACCCTTAGTTTGTTCTCAGTCCTTAAGAGTCTCTTATGTTTTAATGTTGCCATGGTTTTTCATGACTCTTCCAAGATGTCGTATAAGAATCATATACTACGTAGCCTTTTCAGGTTAGCTTCTTTCCAGATTAGCATTCAAGTTTTTCTTCCAGATTGGCATTTGTGTTTTCTCCACAGTTTTTTATGGCTTGATGGCTCCTTTCTTAGCACCGAATAACATTCCAATGTCTGAATGTACCACCGGTTGTTTATCGATTTATCTACCAAAGGACATCTTAGTTTCTAAACTTTGGCGGTCATGAATAAAAACCGCTATAAACAGCCATGTGCAGGTTTTTGTTGTACATAAGTCTTCAGCTTCTTTGGCCAAATACTGAGAGGTGTAATTGTCAGATCATATGGTAAGAGTATGTTTAGTTTTGTAAAAAAACTACCAAACGGTTTGCCAAAGTGGCTGTATGGTGCTATCAGCAGAGAATGAGATTTGCTCTTGATCCGGATCTTTGTCAGCCAGCAGTGTTATCAGTATTCTGGATTTTGGCCACTCTAATAGGTGTGAAATGCTATCTCCTTGTTTCAGTTTGCTCTTCCCTGCTGGCATATGACAGGGAGCATCTTTTTATATGCTAATATGTCATCTGTGTATCTTCTCTGTTAAAGTGACTCAGGTATTTGGCCCATTTTTAAATCTGGGCATTCATTTTCTTATTGTTGAGTTTTAAGAATTTTTGTATATTTCGGATAACATTCATCAGATGCATCTGTTGCAAATATTTATTCCCAGTATGTGGCTTGTCTTCTCATTCCTTTTCATTTGTCTTTCACAGAGCAGAATTTTTTTAAATTTTAACTAAGTCTATTATCAATTGTTTCTTCCATGGATTGTGCCTTTGATGCTGTAATCTAAAAACTGCCAAACCCATGGTTATCTGAGTTCTCCTATGGGAGCTTCTACGAGTTTTATAGTTTTATGTTTTACTTTTGGTCTGTGATACATTTTAAGGTAGTTTTTTGTTTGTTTGTTTGTTTTGTTTTGTTTTGTTTTTGATGAGTGTAAAGTCTCTAAATATCTAAATTCATTTTTTTTTGCATGTAGATGTCTAGTTGGCCCAGCACCAATTGTTGAAAAGCCTATCTTTGCTCCATTGTATTGCCAGAGAAAACTTTTAAAATGTTGCTAAAATGTAGTAATAGGTTTTCATCAATTCTAATCAGACTGTGTCTTCTATGGCTACTGAACTGTCAAGCCTTATTGAATAATGACAAAATTCATAGTGTTTTCAATGACTTATAAAAACTAAAATACAAATTGTGCAGGCAGTAATTATGAATTAGAGTGCTAGAATAACAACAACAACAACAACAACAACAAAAATCTGATTTCTGGGAATATAGAACACACAGCTAAAAATAAGAAAGTTTTCTAGCTCTGGCTGTGCCACTCCTTCACTCTAGTCTTTTTAATAAATGATTTAATCATCGAGAGCTTCATTTTCCTTCCTGTAAAATGAGAGAAGAGGCTTGACCAAAGGAGTCCTAAAATCTTTCTAAGTATCCACGTTCTCCCAGTTTGAATGTGTATTCCCTTTTCTCTCTTAGTCTCTGTCTCTCCTCATCTCTTTCCCTTCCTCCTTTTTCTCATCTTATTCTTCTTTCTCTCTTATCCATTCTTTCTTCCAGAGACAGAGAGAGAGAAAGGGAGAGAGAGAGCTTGAGAGAGATACACTATTTCTTATGTAATACAAGGGCTATTTATGTGAAACAGTTAAATTTTGAGGAATTCTGAGCTATAACAAATTTAAAGTAAAGTTCAATCTTTTCATGTAATTGAGGTTTGTTAAGGAAGCATTTCTCTTTAGTGTGTATAAATTATTTCATTACCATAAATTACATAGAAGAACTGATGAAAGACCCCAAACAGAATCTAGTAATTTTAAACAACTTAGTGTGATAACTAGATAAAAAGATACACAATGAAACATACACCAACTCTAAAGTATAAAAGCAGTTGTATTAGATTAAATGAGTAGCTTGTTTAAAATATCAGTGTTGATAGACAAGTGCTGAAAATGCATTTATTTTTCATTTCTTTTTAAAATATCAAGATTTAATATATGCATTATTAAAAGTGAACTGGGCTAACACCTGACACCAGTGGATGTCCTGGAAGGACCTGTTACAAACCATTCTTATAGACAAGCTTTGTAGCTGCCATCTAGTCACCCATTTCCTTCAATTTGTATTAAAATTAACTACTTGTGCATTATGCACTTATCTGATACCTTAGACTCTGCCATTCTAAATCCTTACCTTTTTTGTTTGGGACATCTCAAGTGTTTGTCAGTTAAGTTAGAGTGGACA